TTTAAAGAACAATTGTATCCTTTTCTACCTTGAGAGATCACAATGCGTCACAGCCGTCAGAGTGACCGCCAGCCGCGTCCAAATCTAAAAGTATAGGAGCATGCGGACTCTGAACCCACTTGAAATGCAGCCTTGGAAACCGATCCGGCCAAAAGCGATAACGCGGGTTAAAAAAAAAAAAAAGACGACACCCAAGACCGTTCCGGCGGTATCGGAGACGCGGAATACCAGGACGCACCGCGACAACCATCTCCCGTGTAATTCCAGACGTATAAAAAAAGTGCGGGGAAACACGATACCTCAGGAGAACGGACACCCAGGAACTCCTCATTATGCGGGGGGGGGGAGTTGGTCCGCGGCTCTCCAGACAACAGCAGCGGGATTCTCTTACAGGAAATGGAAAAGTGCGATTGCTACAATCCATAATAATGAGTAATGATCCCTCCGCGCCGGATCGGCTCCCTCTATCTCACTCACGCTCAATTAGCATTACTGGAAAGTGCGTAAATCCGGCTTCCTGTTTACAGATGATCGGCCATCTTTAAAAGACTAATCTGCTTAGATTTTCCTAACTCCCTCCCCTCCCCCGCCCCTCATCGACATGCAAATACATTTCGGATAAAATCTTTCCACTTTCATGACAAACCTTCGTGATAATCACTGGGTCTCTGTGCAATGCAGGCAGATCGTGGCTGGTGGGAGGGGCCAACAGGGGGGGCTGTACACAGCTTCCTGAAAACATCGCAGCACCCTGCCTTAGTACTCCTCTCAACAGCCCTGATGCAAGCAGTGGGTTGGATCTTGGGAGGAGTTATGCAAATATCAAAATGCCTTGATGGGTGGGTGTCGGTCTGGAGGAGTGGGCGTTCCTAGGCATGCAGACCACAGTAGGTAACGCCCACATGTGATGCTGATCCTCTATGATTAAAAAACTGAAAGCCAATGAAAGAAAGGGGCGGGGCCAGGGACAGTCAGGCTGGGGGGCAAAGTGCTAAATGATGCTGGATGTCCTCCAGCCAGGAAATGAGGTGGGCTCGATCTGACTTGCTGCTGCTTCTAATGCACATTGTGAGACGCTCCCAGTGTAGTGACATCAGAGGAAGAGGGGAGAAGCCGGTACAACTGTACAAGACTGAAGGGAAGGACGGAGGCCAGATAGACTGAAGGGGAGGATGGAGGTCAGATAGAAGACTGAAGGGGAGGATGGAGGTCAGATAGAAGACTGAAGGGGAGGACGGAGGTCAGATAGAAGACTGAGGGGAAGGACGGAGGTCAGATAGAAGACTGAAGGGAAGGACGGAGGTCAGATAGAAGACTGAAGGGAAGGCCGTAGGTCAGATAGAAGACTGAAGAAGAGATCGGTAGAATCAGAGATACAGCAGCTAAAGTCCTGAAGCTCAGGAGGCAGTAAATGGAGTCTATAGACTTGGGATCTGTATATAACTTCAGCTGCTGGGTTTTCCAAGTTGCTTTCAATGCCCAATCACGTCGTCCTCGCTGCGGTCTGCTCCTCTAAATCAGAGTGATGAGAATAAGGAAACCGCCGGACCTGCCGCTCAGCAGTACAAATGTCCTCGTCCCAAACGCGTCAGTCACCTGTTTGCCCTCAGCCCTGTAGATAGCGGTGATTACTGCCAGAGCCAGATGTCAGACGTTTGGACACAAAACGCCCCTTCGCTCTACGAACGCAATGTTCCCGTGGAAGGTTTATACAGACGTGAGTGGGGAGGGTGGGCTGTACGGGGGGGCTGTACGGGGGGAGGGCAGGCCGTACGGGGGGGACGCACAATGCGAGATTCGCCGTCCTATGGATAAGCGCAATCAGAGTTGAAGCCGGCGCCGGATGGGATTGTTTCAGCGGAAAGCAGAAGAAAATGGTGACTAATGTTGTGGAAAATGACTTGGATATCGCCGGCCCGGAACGGCATGACAATTAGGCTGCAATGGGAAGACAAATGGAAACAAATCAACACAAACAGGCACCGTCAGGAGTGCTTTACCGACGCACAATAATGAAAGCATTACTTAAGGGTTCTCTCAGCGTGCCGACACAATCTGCTCCGGCTGGGGTCGCCGTTCTACGCCACCACTAACCGAATCAGCAGCTTTGAGAGAGGCCTGTTCAATAAAAGCAGGGGAGGCGCTTACAGGGGCGGGGGGTATTGTATCTGTAAAGGTGGCCATACACTTTACAACCCTCGCAAGACCTTTGTCTTGCGATGGTTGTAAAGTACTTTAAAAAAATGTACGATCTGCCCATCTTGGACATGCAGATAGTACCTGCAATCATCACAAGCCCTCCCCGCTGAGGGATCGCGGGATTGCAGTGTATGGGCACCTTATGTGTGTGGACACCTGACCATCACACCTAGATAAGCTTGTTGTTGGACATCCCATTACAAAACCATGGCCATTAACATGGAGTTCGATCTCCCCATGGCCAATAATACAAAGCTGCCCCCTCTCATGGCCCTTAATATGAAGTTATCCCCTCTCATGGCCATTAATATGCATTTGCCCCCTTTCATGGCTATTATTATAGCGTTTCCCCCTCTCATGGCCATTAAAATTAAGTTATCCCCTCTCATGGCCATTAATACGGAGTTGCTTCTTCTCACGGCCATTACTATGGCATTGCCCCATCTCATGGCCATTACTATGGAGTTGCTCCCTTCTCATGGCTATTAATATAGAGTTGCCCCCTCTCAAGGCCATTAATATGGAGTTGCCCCCCTCTTATGGTCATTAATATGGAGTTGCCCCCCTCTCTTGGCCATTAATATGGAGCTGCCCCCCTCTCATGGCCATTAATATGGCGTTGCCCCCTCTCATGGCCATTAATATGGAGTTGCCCCCCTCTCATGGTCATTATCATGAAGTTGCCCTCCCTTTGTGGTTATAACAGCCTCCACTCTTCTGGGTAGGCTGTATGGCCAAAAGTCTATAGACACCTGACCATCACACCTCTATGAGCTTATTGGACATCCCATTCCAGAGCCATGGGCATTAGGAAAGAATTGGCTCCTCTGTCTGGTTAAAACATCCTCCGCCCTTCTGGGAAGGCTTTCCACAAGCTTTGGAGGGTGTCTGTGGGAATTTGTCCCATGTGTGTCCATGTGAGGTCAAGTACTGATGGTGGATGAGAAGACCCGGCTCATAATTAGATTCCTGTTCATCCCAAAGGTGTTCAGTAGGGTTGAGGTCAGGGCTCTGTGCATGACACTCCAGTTCCTCCACAACAAACCAGTGTCTTTATGGAGCTTGCTTTGTACATAGGGGACAGTCATGGTGGAAAAGATAAGAGTCTTCACCAAAATGTCACCACAAGGTTGAAGGGCACAATTGTCTCCACCACATGTGTATACATGTAAGATTGAGTCCAGGAAGTAGATGGTGAACATGGATGACCGTTGAACAAAGACGGAACCGTCCTTGGAATGGTTCCTCTGACACATTACGTGGCATGCATGGACTTAACATAAAGATATACATCTGATGAAAGGTCCACCTTTAGATACGGATCCTCGAGCCCGAGGTATTTACAATACATACTGACAGCAATACAGGTGACATCATGTACTGCCGGCGCGGTGTCAGTGGAACCTTAGATGTAAAAAAAAAAAACAGTTTCTGCAGACCGCTCGCATCCAAACAGTTATTTGTATTCAATATCAAAGGCATCAGCTGGATTTTATTTCATTTAAGCGCGATTTGCATATATATTACATTTTAAAAGCCGCATGTAAAGCTTTGCGAAACATTTCCAGAGCGGGCCACGGTGATAACGTGACATTGGCTGGGGGTTGAGGAAACACGGAGGCACAAAACCCAAAAAAAGCTCGCTGCTAGGACCTGTATAAGCTTCTCGTGCTCTAGATGTCCCTCATTTCCTATCGTAACCTGTAGATGACCATTTCTGAAGCTGGCATGGACCTCAGGGCTGAGCTCCTGGTGGGGGAACGTTAAGCTCATCTGCCTACATTTTGCCTTCACTGGTTCTTCCCTTCTCATCAAAATGCTAATGACATCTTAAATAAAACATTTTTCCGTTTTCATTACATACTTCATGTTAGGCCCATTGACTCAATGTTTCTCTAAACAATGAAGGACGATCGTGGCTGGTGGGAGGGGCCAGCAGGGTGCTGTTTACTTGGTGACGAGGGAGCATGAAGCCAACTATGCCGGCCAATCAGCAAGGTGGGCAGTGTGTAACGACTCGCTGCCCGGCTTCCTGATACTAGAAATTCGGGTATCGGGCTAGGCATCTGAGCATTTGGGCAGGTACGAGTACTTGCCCAAATACTCGGCACCTAGAGGTTTATTCATTTTTCTCTTCTGTATAAGGATTTATCTTGCTTTTCCTTAATAAAGAATTCAAACAAAAAGTGAGTGGCTCACTGACTAGAGAACCCACAGAATGTCCACCACAGCCTGGCCACTAGTAAGTTGATGACCATAATTTTCTCAAAACAGATCCACATTTATAAATGAACATTGTGTGGAAAAGCAAATACGGAATCCCCCTTCTTATAATCCCGGTCGAGCCCCCAACTAGGTGGGACCACCCCCCAAGCACCATGTGAGAGCAAAGAATCTGGGAAGGTGAAGACTCTAATTGGCTGGTTTGGCCACACTAGACCCAGCGGGCCACCTTAAACCCTAATTACAGCCATTTTTATTTTCAGATTAGATAGAGTGGGGAAGAGTTAAACTTTCTACCACTTTCTGTCTGTGACCCCATTTGGGAGACTGTCCCCTCCCTTTTGATCTCTGATGGCGGAAAAAAAATTGAGGGGTGTGGCCGTCACCAGGCCACAATCTACATGTTCTAATCCTTCCTCATTCTACTAAAATTGGGTCCCAAGATTTTCCATCACTTAGGAACCTGATAGGAGTTGTAACCCTTCCCCCAAAATGAACAGTTTTTGGTAGAGTTGAGCCGTAAATAACATAAAACGGCATAAAATTGTAAGAATATAGAAGTTTGGAAGGAGTCTGACCTGTGGCCATTCCCTGCTGGTGAACCATTTCCACGGGGTCTTGTAGGTGGATGAAGACGACGAGGCCGGCGAGTCCAAACAGCAAGATGAAGGAGAACATGCACGTCAGCCTCATAGTTCCTCCTCTCCGATCAGTCCTGAGACCAGCCATGAAAATGTACCATTCCAGCCACCGTTAGGAGTCCATCTGCTCTCATTTTCTCATCTTCTCACCTCCAGCCACTGGAACACATAAAGAAACGAAAATTTAAAAAGAGGACCGATCAGGAAAATTGACTCGTCGCCAGATTTAATATGTCATCTGGCCAACAGAGCATTGTGGGCGTTTCATATCATTTGAGACTGCAAAAAGTCTATCACTTTTGGTTAGACTTTCGGATATCGTGTGAAGTGTAAGCATGTCTGCCACCCATGTGCATAAATAATAACAAACTGTATAAGATTTTTAAAACATTACAAAATACGGATAACATTATTTTTTCAATAAGCTGACCATTTCACACGTGTGTAGAACAGCGATGTCATCACTGGGTCTCTGTGCTTCACCATGCAATGTAGGCTGGGAGGAGGGGCCAGAAGGGTGCTGTATATAGCTTACTGAACAGATCACAGCACCCTGCCTGCTCTCAAGAGCACTCAGCTCTGATGCATGCAGTGGGTCGGCTCCTGGGAGGAGTCATGCAAATATCAAAATGCCTTGATGGGCGGGTGTCAATCTGGAGGGTGGGGTGTCCCTAGGCAGGCTGCACCGCCCTAGTTAACACCCACATATAATGCTGAACCTCAATAATTGAAAGAACTGAGAGCCAATGCATGAAAGGGGTGAGAGACAGGCTGGGGAGGAAAAAACTAGATGATGCTGGACGTTCCTCCAGCCAGGCAATGAGGCGGGCTCTATCTGACTTGCTGAGGCTTCTAATGGACATTGTGCAGTGATATCAGAGGAAGAGGAGAGCCGCTACAACTGTGCAAGACTTAAATCAGGGATAGAGTTCAGCTGGACTCCACTGACACAATTGCTGCGCGATTCCCCCGGAAGAGACGTGACATCAATGTGGAGTAACACGTCACAAAACCTGATGTAAAGTGTCTGCGCTCTTCATAGCCTGCGAGGTGCCGACTTCATCATAGAACCTGCACCAGGAGTGCACGCTGACTGACTGATTGATATTGACTGCAGAGGCATTTAACTTTCAGTACACTTTATTCAGCCTGTAATAC